ATAAATCAAAGAACAATACTCAGCAAAAAAAGCAGCCTAACCACACCCACCCATCATCTCTGTTCATTGGTGATCCAGTGGGAGTCTTCTTTTTTCTGTAATTTAATTAGTTCTATCAAGATGTGATGACTCTCTCAAATGTCGGATACTCAGCTGGTGTTCATCCATGAGATGAATGGAGATGCATTCCAACGGACACTTCCGTATCGACATCTGCGTTCCAATGACGACTTCCGCATTCGTCAGCTGTCAACATGGCAGTGCGTACCACTGTGGAATGCATTAGGCGATACTCTCCGATGTTACTGTAGCGGGCCATGGGTAACCCGGCTGCTTACCTCCGTTACCTTACCTAACGAACGGGCTGCCACCCAGAAGAGGCACCCGCCGAGGCTCTCCTTGTGGTTTGCGGTTTGTGGTTTTGACACCTCATTATGAGGTACGAATGTTCTAAAACCACATTCTAAATGGGATTTCGTGGTGGTCCCCGTTCAGGGAGCAGGTAGTTCTACAAACACAACCGAGGAAACACAGGGTCAAGATAGGGAAAACAGTGCAGGGTAACCAGGGCAGTTCACAGTTTAGCAGGGGTTCGCTACAGTTACAAAGAAATTACCCATGGATTCAGGAGCATCTAAAACTCCCATCTACTTAGGAGAGACTATAGGTAAATAAAATATAAACATTTGTTATAAACCAATACAATGAATAACATTTAATTCAATCATTTGAATAAACATCTTAGAAGATACTCCCCCTTTGCAGCACAGATCTATTTAGTGTAATTATAGTGTACGAGGAGAATATCCTCAAGTCATGATTCTAGATAGTAAAATATAATTAAATATAATCAATATATGGGATACGAGTTACACAGAAAAAACATATTGGAGGACCTAGATAAAAGGGACCATTAAAAGAACCAACAAGGTCTATGTCTACATTCATTCCCTTAGGTTCCAATTTCTGAAGTTTATGGATCCAGTAAGTTTCACGTTAAAACTACCTGCCTAATATCATGTAGGTCCCCCTTGTGCTGCCAAAACAGCTCTCAAACATCCAGACATGGGCTTCATAAGACCTCTAAATGTATCCTGTGGTATCTGGCACTAAGACATTATCCACAGATACTTTAAGTCCTGCAAGTTGAAGGTTGGACCTCCATGAATTGGCTTTTTTGTTCCAGCACATCTCACAGATGCTCAATTGGATTGAGATCTGAGGAATATAGAGGCCAAGGCAACACCATGAATTATTTTCGCAGTGTGGCAGGGTGCATTATCCTCCTGAAAGAGGTCACTGCCTTCAGGGAGCACCATTGCTATGCAGGGGTATACATGGTCTGCAACAATCAGTAGTTAGGTGGTATGTGTCAAAGTAACATCCAAATGAATAGCCAGCATTAAGTTTTTCTGCAATTTCAGCTAGATTAGCTCTTCTATGTGATTGGACCAGACGGGTTTTCATTTGCTCCCATTGTGCCTAGCCGTCACTATTTTGCGCTTGTCAAAGTCACTCAGATCTTTTCACTTGACCGTTTTTCTGCCTCCATCACATCCTTTTCCTGCTTCCAACACAGGAAATTCATGCACTTACTGTTCACTTGCTGCCTAATATAGACCCATGAGAGCTGCCATTGTAACGATATAATCAATATTATTCTCTTTACCTGTCATTGGTTTTGGCTGATCAGTGTAAATTTTTAACAGGCAGAGTCCAATCAAAGTAGAACAAATGGGATCCATCTGAGCTAAATTTCAAGTGTGATAGCAAAGGATCAATACTGGCAAAACGTATGTCAGTGTGATATTTATGTTTTTCTTTTCTAATGAATTTACATAGTTACATCTCTTTATTGCTTTGCCATTATATGATATTGAGTGTACACTGACGTGAACATTTTTTTTTTTTTAAATAATTGTAGCATAAGGCTGCAACATAAACAAATGCAAAAGATTAAGGAGTCTGCATACTTCCTAAATGCAGTATATGCTTGTATATTTTCAACCTAGTGAGAGAGCATGCTGGGTAATGTAGTTACCAGAGGGATGCTATTGTTTTAAGGCTCAATTCAACTTGATAGAAATATATAAAGAAGGACTGATCAATTCATCAGAGTGAAATAGATCAAACATCGTAGAAAAAGCGAATAAGGTGGAATATAACACACGTTAAGGGGAAAGCCAAACATAAACATAAACGATAAACAAATTTCTCTTATTGAGAGAAAAGAACAAATAAGGGTGCGCCTAAGACAAGTAGAATGAATATATAAAAAATATATCAGAGAGTACGAGCAGCGATACCTAAAAAAGTCAGAATATAAATAATCCACATATGCAGGAGGTAGTCCTAGTGGTACATAAAATGGTATGTGAAGTCCCAGATGTATATCCGCAGCTTCAAAGTGGATATGTGAAGAAAACAGAAGACAAGGGAAACTCCAATGGTATAGTATGAATGGTAAATAATATTGTATATATAATATTAGAACCAGTGGCGTACACATGACCCATGGGGCCCCGGTGCGAAAATTGATCCGTGGGCCCCCCCGCGCTTACTCGGTGCGGGTCGGGGCCGCAACACATGGCGGCGGGCACCTGGTCGCAGGGGTTGCAGGTCTGAGACCCGGCGACCGCGGTATGCACACACACTTAAAGGACCACTACAGACACCCAGATAACATCAGCTCAATGAAGTGGTCTGGGTGCCAGGTCCCTCTAGTTTTAACCCTGCAGCTGAAAACATAGCCGTTTCAGAGAAACGGCTATGTTTCACTGAGGGTTAATCCAGCCTCTGGTGGCTGTCTCATTGACAGCTGCTAGAGGAGCTTCCGCGATTCTCACTGTGAAAATCACAGTGAGAAGACACTGAACGTCCATAGGAAAGCATTGAGTAATGCTTTCCTATGGGCGGTTTTAATGCGCGCGCGCCTCTTGCCGCGCATGTGCATTCGGAGCTGAGAGGTGGAGGGATCCCCAGCGCCAAGGGAGTCCGACGCTGGAGAAAGGTAAATGCTGAAGACACACACACACTCTCACGAACAGACGCATACACACTAGCTAACAGACACACACATTTACTGACAGAGACACACTCAGCGACTGACATACATGCACACTCACTTACAAAACATACACTTTCACTGACAAACACACACTCACTAACAGACATCAAACACACTCACTGACACACACACTAACACACACACACTAACACAAACACACTAACACACACAAACACACTAACACACAAACACACACTAACAGACACACAGGCACACTAACACACACACTAACACACAAACACACACTAACAGACACACAAACAGACACACTAACACACACACACTAACAAACACACACACATTTTTTTTTTAAATTTAATCCCCCCAGCCTCCTTACCTTTTGGAGTGCTGGGGGGATTCCCTGGGGTCCAGTGGTGCTGCTGGGCGGGCTGGCTGTCTGGGTGGCCGGCGCGTGAGGGAGCACTCTCCCCTCTGACGTCATCTTCCGGCTCCGGTATCAGTGCGGTGCGCGAGGGAGCTGAAGAGGAAGCACAGAGGGGAGAGTGCTCCCTCGCGGCCACCCAGACAGCCAGCCCGCCTGCCCGCCGGGGTCAGCAGGGCCAGCCTCGGGGGGCCCTGAGGTGGCCGCCTCCTGGGCCCCCCAGGAGAAGAGGCTGGCCCAGTGGGTACATACCGGGTCGCAGGGGCGGCCGGGCCCCCTTGTGGGCCAGGCCCGGTCGCAGCCGCGACCCCTGCAACCCTGGTATGTATGCCACTCAGTAGAACTACTCACAATATTCAGAGCTTAAATCCAGCTCTGGTATAAATGGCACGAGTGGAATAATCCCAACTCAAGGATATACGGTGCTCCTCTTTTGTTCTTTAGCAGAGTACTTTGGTGGAGTAGTACAGCTCGAGGTAAAAGGATAAAATATATAGTGCTCACTGTATAGTTGATAAAATGTAAAAACAGAATAAAATATACTCACGGTATATAGAGCAGACGTACTGCTCGGTGGATGGCGTATGGGTGGTATAATCCCCACTTTAGGATTCTTAGGATTCTTGGTATGCCAATATGGACAAAAAGGTATACTGAAAGAAAGTAATATAAGTCTAAGGTGGAAAGAGGAATGTGGCAACCAAATGTATAATAGCCAAATATTCCTTTATTAACACTTAGATTGTATAAAAAGTTCCTATACGCGTTTCGCCAATCAGTAGTTAGGTGGTACGTGTCAAAGTAACATCCACATGAATAGCCAGCATTAAGTTTTTCTGCAATTTCAGCTAGATTAGCCTATTGTGGCGAAACGCCACAAATTTCAGCTAGATTAGCCTTTTGTGGCGAAACGCCACATTGTATTCCAAGGGGCTTAGTGGGGGTTTCCCCTTTTCCATAGGTGTGCTGCCTTGCTGTCATATTCTCTGTTTTCCTATCAGCGCTGAACTTCCTTCCTGATCTCGACTAAATTTCTCTTATTGTTCTATTTTATATGTGTATTCAAAGTGTATAAACATGCATGGTTTCGTGTTGCATTTAAAAAAAAAATGGCAAGAACAACAAGCTTGAGGCATCTGATCTTAATTCTGAATTCTGTTTGACTCATCAAAGCTTTCAGACAAATCAGAATAGATCTAGAATTTAAATCACAGTCAATGACCAGAAAATGAACAAAACACGGATGTCAGCCTCCCGACCTCTTTTGATACAGAATACCTGCAGTAATAATAAGATATAAAAAAAACAAAAGTAAGGGCTAGTTACCCTGAGTTTAGATATGTTTTATCTTCTGTCAAGGTGACCCATTTTTTAAGATTAATAGAGTATTAATATTCTTTTAATGATAGGGTCTGTAAGCCTATGGAAGTAGGTCGCTATTTATCATAGTTAACCCTTTCTTTACAGCTCATAAAGAAAAATAATGTTGCCAATCCTGAAACAGGCTGTAGCGGCCCTGTTCTTTTCTTTATTTTTTTACTTGTTTTGCAGACTCATCGGTATCACATCTAGCTGGACTCTATACATCTGCCACAACTTCATACTTATCCCAGCAGCAAGATTTTCTGTATTGTGCCCCTGTGGCCGGAGTGAATTGGCAGTGCGTTATATAAGAGGGCTAATTATCTGTGCAATTGCTGCAAAACTGGTCTACGCAGTGGAAAATAAATCATTTATATGGGTGAGTAGAAGGGAAGCCTGCACCAAAAGTAACACTGATCATTGCCATTTTTCATTAATTTGCTAACGTGCCAGTTCTAACTATTAACTGACCTTATAATATTTGTTGTAACTAACACTCACTATTTCCGGTTTAATTCTGCATCTAAATCTTTTGTGGATATATATTTTTTAATAGCAGGTAATAGAACTCTTGATAGTGACGATAACACGAGTCCATCTGTGGATGGTGCTTAATGGCTTAGAGCATACGGCCACCTGCATACATTTGTTTAATGTCCAGATACATTTTAATCCTCTTCTGTACAACTGCAGCAGCTTTTATTTGTGAAACATAGATGTCTATACCTTTACATGTTATGTTAATAATTTCTGTCTTGTACTTTGTGTGGGACCACCCCAGCATTATAGTGGTTAATATGCAAAGGAGTCGCTTCTTCAAAGGAGCAGATTTCTAGAGTAGTACGAAGCACAGTTGCAGCAGAACATTCTTTTTCCAGATAACGAGACTTATATACAGTATACAGTGAAAGGGCAAGCTACTGAAATGTCATGTCCAAATGAATGACGGACACTCCCCGTGGAAACAATAGTTCTCTATGCTGGATCCCATTAAAAGACACAAAGGAAATCCAGTGAAAGCCATGGGCACAGCAGTACTGTTTCCTGTAAGATGTGCATGTGTGCCCATTTGGGCCACGAATGAGTCAGCACTCAAGAGCAGGGATTGCGCAACCTTATGCTGGACGCTTACCACCATGAATTTTGGCCATGCTCCCTCAATATGTCAATATGTCTTGGACAAGAATCACAGGTTCGTACAGCAAGCATAAGGGAGAACAGAGCAGATTAATCAGTGGCCACCCGGAGTCAGAGCAGCCAAGGTAATACAGGCATAGTGAAATAAATGTGGACAATGTGGCATGGATATGGGCATAATAAAATGGTGGAAATGTGGCATGGATGTGGGCATAATAAAATGGAGGCAATATGGCATGTGGCATAATAATACAGATTTCAATCATATTTGTTTTATATTAAAACATGGAAATACAGTTTTATTAGCCATGAGAGAGAGGTTGTGACAATATTATTTTGAAACAATATCAGGTTTACATTTGCACAAGCATTCAGTGTGCACATACTTTTGTTATGAGGAACATTGTTCAGTGGTGACTTTGAGACTTTCAAAATCAATAGAAACTGGAACGTGAAAGGGAAGATGGCCCAAAACAGAATGTTGTCATTTCGGGGTCCTGGTGACATTCAGAATTTACAAGATCATTGGTTTCGTGGCTTGCTATGATGTCTCCAAAATCCATTGATATCATTATCATCATTCCATAATACATTCTAGATAGATTAATAGATTGGATAGATGTATTGGCTAGGCTAGATATAGTTTAGATAGATAGATAGATAGATAGATAGATAGATTAAAGGTTACTGTAGTGATTACGGTATACTAAAATATTCATATCTATACAACTGTTTAGCTCAACAAGGGCATCATCATGCATCAAAGACAAAACAGAATCATAATAGTGCAGATGGTTATCAAACTGGAAATTAATATAAACATGGCTAGTGCTTCAATCAACTCACATTGTCTAGAGCTATAATTTTACTCATGGAGCCTTTAATGGCAGTTACATACTCATCCCAGAAAACACTGTAGCACAAAGTCTAATATGTTAAGAACTGACTTATCATTACATTTTGTAAATGCTTGTCGTGGTTATGGTGCCAGGAGTTCTCTGATCCTGTCCATTGTTAAGAGAGCTTTTTTCGAGTGTTTTGACATTTACCTAGGTCCCACAGGTACACATGGACTGACCTTTCTTCAAAGATCTTACAAAAAAAAAAGTAAAACTCAGGGACCAAAACAGTTTGACTCTATGCGACACTACCAGTGGACTCCTAAAGCTATAACTACTACCACAGTGTCAGGGGCTCCTGGCACCATCACCACTACTGCATGCTATATTTTATACTGAAATTTAATGTCAGGTTCCTGGGATTGTTCATTTAAGAAAAACAATATTTTTCAAAATCATATCTTTAATGAGATTTTTGTAGTCATTTTGTATCTGAAAATTATTTGTTGGCACATGAAACTTCCTTTTTAATTGTCTCGAACTGTAATAAAGCGAGCTGCTACTACTCTGCTTGTGGACCGGTTTGCCAATTAAATCTACTGCATATATCAAATAGGTTGTTCTTTTTACTTAATATATCTTTATTGAGAGCTACATTTGAAAAAGTACAACATATATATGAAAAAGCAGAATGGAAGAATGAGTGATCATAAACAAAGTATCACAGTATATATTAAAAAAAAACCTCCAGTTGCAAGTTATACACTAATGGGACTAAGAATACTAAGGTCAGGCAAGTCAAAAATAGGTAATTACAAAGCTATGAAAAAAAAAATGCTAGCTAAGTTACCAGTGATTAGACAACCTAGAATGGTGGCAATCATCTAATGGTAAATGTTGCACTGGAATTATACCCACCAGTATAGAGGCAGTAGTGTGAAGTATAATACATGTTGGGAAGGGTGGAGAAAGAGGAAGTTCTCCTAATAAGAGTATTGTGGAGGGAGTCCTCTCGGTGGGAGCTGTGGGAGGCAAAACTCTCAGTGGGAGCTGTGGGAGGACATTGTGTGAGCGAAACCTCTGTGTGACAGACCCATCTGTCTGGATTATAACTGCTTTGTTCGCCTGTTTTGCTGGTTACATGAATTTCCCCATTCGTATGCTTTATTCAAGGGAATGTCGGTTTTGTCGAACGGAACTACCGAACGGACGGCCACCCAGAAGAGAAGTGTGCTGCTGGTTAACCTAGTGATCCCAATTAGAACGTTGCGGTTAACCACAGACACTTCTCAATTAAAACCGAATGCCGGGTGGTCGTCGTTCGTATGTCGACCACGAGGCGGCGGCCATTTTGTCCATGCGAAAGACCAGCGGTGTTCGACGATTATTTCATGGATCTGAAAACGGACACTTTTTCAGCCGAACACCGCTGAAGCCGTCGACCTCCCCTTCTCAATCGACAAAAGTATACGAATGCCAGCTGTTCGGGAGATTCAACCACACGAATGGACTTAACCCAGATAGCCGTCCCATGGAGTCAATCGCATACGAAGAACCGAAAGAGACTTTGACTCCATGGCGATTGAACTATGCGAATGGGATCTGAGCGCTATTCTCCAATAATGTGCACTCAGATCCAGGCTATCTGGGGATACGTGATACGAATGTAATATGTTCGGCAGTTATGAAGTTATGGATTTTCATGTGGTTTTGTGACTTGTGTTTAAAATGGCGATTGCCTCTGCCCGGGGAGATAATTGAGTTACTTCCCAATTATCCCCCGAGCAGAGGGGAGGGAACTGTACTGCATGCTGGGAATATTGTGGGGATGTATGTCCAAAATGTCCCCATGTCCCTCTGTACTTTCAGTCTCCCATTTGGTCCCCTAGGGGAGTGTCCACCAAGTGGGAGACCTGCATAAATACCGGGCAGGTAGCCCACAGTAAATCAGTTCGTGTTTTACCCTCAAAGCGGAGCTTGGTCTCGTTATTGGGGGGATTTGGTTACCAGCGACTAAGACTGCTTATTTGGATTATTTGCCGCTTGGGAGATATTGACGTTCGGTTACTATTTGCCGTTCGTGGATTTGCAGCTCGTGAAGGGAATTAGCCGTACAGGTACCGTTCGGGAGTTTGGAGTGTTCCCTGGCTGGCGGTTCGCATGGTTTTACTATACCCGCTACCCGACCACATTATTGCGAACGGGGAATACTCGCTAAACGGCGGTTTGTACATTTCATTACTGGAGGTACCGTAACAACTGGTGGCAAGCGACGGGATGATCCTCAGCGCCCAAAGAAACCACTACAACCAGGATTAAATGGAACTACAATACCAGAACCTGAGAAGAGCTACCCTAAAGGATTTATTGGAACAAAGAGGCGGACAAGCCAGTAACCTCAGGAAGAGGGATATTATTGCACTATTGCTGGAAATGGATGGAGTAACGGCGGAAGAGGGAACCAATGGACCCAGCACAGCTGACAGAACCCCCGAGGAGGCAAGCTTCGACCGGGCGGTAAGAATCAGGCTGGCCCATTATGGTCCCAACCCAACTACTGAGACTGTCACCCAGGTCATAGCCGCTGTGGAGGCCAACCTGCTACGCCAAAGCGGTGCTGCAGCAGCCCCAGTCACAGCAAACCCGGGAGATAGGAAAAAGGTACCATTTACAGCATTTAAAGCCTTCAGTGAGACAGAAGGAGAGATTGATGGGTACCTTGCTGATTTTGAGCGGCAATGTGCCCTGCACAAGGTACCCCTAGAAGACTGGGTTACTATACTGTCCGGCAAGTTATCCGGCCGGGCCAGCGAGGCTTTTCGGGCCATTCCAGATGAGGAGATTGGGGATTATGGGGCCGTCAGGGAAGCTTTACTCTCCCGGTATGCTGTTACACCTGAGGCGTACCGGAGGAGGTTCCGAGACACGGTTAAAACCTCTGGGGACTCATATGTGGAATGGGCATGCAAGGTGCACCGCACAGCCGCTCACTGGATGGCGGGGTGCCAGGCTGTGTCCGGGGAAGAGGTGCTGCAGATGTTCCTCTTAGAACATTGCTTTGACAAATTACCAGCAGGGGTCAGAGAGTGGGTAAGGGACCGTAAACCCTCCACTCTGCACGAAGCAGCTCGCCTGGCGGATGAGTATACCGACGCCCGCAAACTGGACAGTCTCATCAGTAAGGCTCCCGCCAGAGTGGAGTACAGGCCAGCAACACCAGCACCAGCCAACCTCTACCAGCCTCCCATGACTCGCCCATCAGCACCTCCTCCATCTGCCCCGTACCAACAGCCACCTAGGTTTAATGCACGGGAATACACGCAACCCATTCGGTGCTACCTGTGCAAGCAACTAGGGCACAAGCGACCCGAGTGCCCGATGAACAGCGCCAACCAGAACCAGT